AAATAAATAAATAGGACGAATGCAAAACGAAACGAAATTTTTTGTAGCTTTTTGTGCCAGCCTTGGGCAAAAATAAAAGGCGTTTAGCATAAATTTCCTAATATTACCTAAAACATATATAAATATACATACTAAATGGGAGCTCGATCCCTAAGTTTCATGCTCAGCGGGCCCCAAGCTGCTCCCCTCGAACTCTTTCAGCTGTCCAGCAGGCTGATCTGTGCCTTGATCGTCTGTCAATCAGAACTGCAAGCTACCTTTCATACTCCTTAATTATATCAATTTGTGGCCGCAGTCAATATGAATTTCGGGTATATATATTTTTGCGTCAGCCCTAATATAAACACCTGCTGCTTGGCTATTTATTGTTGCTATTTGTTTATAGCGCTGCCAGCCAACCTGTGCCGCAACGTGTAGCCGTAGTCAGAATTATTCGCGCAGGCAACCTTCATGCAAATATGCGAATTCCTTAAGCGAGCGCAGTTTCAATTTGTCTAGGAAAAAAATAAAAAACTTGTTCAGTTTCATTTGAGTTGGGCAGCGACAACAGCTGAAAGCACTTGGACTAAACTCTTTCAACTTCTTTGTGCTAATTGCAGGCCAGCACCGGCAAAATAGAGGGCAATCCGTTATCGGAAATTGAACAAATTGTCCGAATGAGCCGTGTAAGTACAACTCTCTCGCTGTCGCTCTATTTAAATTTGCTAACCAAACATTTGCTGCAACAGGAACAACACGAGTCCAACAGCCGCGTGGATGGCAGCGTGGCAGGTGAGGCCGGCGGCGAGGGCACCGGCGCAGACAATGCGGCGACCAATGGACGCGCCGAACTGGGCTTTGTGCAGGACAACAATGACAAGGTAAGAGCCAAAGTCCAAGTTAGCCAGAAAATCAGCATCAACCAAAAATTAAATAACCTCAGAATAAGCCCGAAGCCAGCGACAGCGAAGCGGGCGCTTTAAGCAGACGCCAATTGGTTTTAAATGAGCTCGTCGCGACCGAGGAATCGTATGTGCAGGATCTGCAAAAGATAGTCTACGGGTAAGCCTCGCATCTCAAGCTCAATTTTCACATAAATCGATAACAATTCAACTATTTGCAGCTACATGAAAGAGATACACAACAAGGAGATACCGAGGCCAGCGGATCTGCAGGGCGGCAAAATGGATTTGGTCTTTAACAACATCAAAGAGATCTATGAGTGGCACAGAGAGTAAGTAACCAGCACCAGCACCTTAAACCCACACACAAACGACTAAAGAGATTTATATTTTCAGTAAATTTCTGAGATCGCTGCGCCATTGCCAGAAGTCGCCAGCGGATCTGGGTCCGCTCATCGATAGCTCAACCAAGAAGTTCCCCATGTACTACTATTTCTGCAGCAACAAGCCGCTGTCCGAGTTTATAGTCAATGCGCATTATCAGTATTTCGATCAGATACGCCAGAAACTGGGACATCGCATGGATGTAAGCACAGCTAGCCACATTAACTAAATGCTATAAGGACTTTATTTCATTTAAAATCTGTTCGTGTGCCTTAACCCAATCTTGGCTCGGACTTTCTGACGTCTATGTAGCACGTTTACATAATAGAATTTGTTTCCAATCGCCTAGAAATTTAATCGGCATTCAAATTCCATTTTGTAACCAAAGCAAGGTCGATTTTCCGCAGAACCAAAGTCCCCCCAAACCAAGTCCCTCTTTTTTCACTTAGAAACGTGAATTGCGTCTTCAACAAAAGACAAACCCTTGCGGGGAAAACATTTGCCAATTTCCTTACATCAGCTTCCAAGCATCAAAAGGATGCAAAGAAGAACTTTGGTGTTTGATTTGAACCAGCAACCTTTAGTTTATTAGTTCGAAGCTCAAGCATAGGTTCATAACCTTACGTTTGTGCTTTGTTATAAAAATTCTTTATACAAATTGTGACCAATTCATTTAGAGGTCGAATTTTGCAAAAAACCCTTCCTAGAAAACTTGTGTAGGATTTGCCGTTTCACAGATCCCATATAGAGTATATAGATATATACACGGATATATATATTCATTAATTGATCTCCTGCTTGCAGTTGAGCACGCTGATCATAACGCCTGTGCAGCGCATTACCAAATACGGTCTGCTGATCGAACAGATACTGCGGGAAACGAAACGTGCGGGTCTGCACAACGAGGTGCCCGCTTTGATGAAGGCATGGGATCAAATGAAGGATGTCGTTAAGAAGGTCGACGACATGATGGACGTGTTGCGTGGCCTCCAGGACTTTGATGGCGAGATCACGGCTCAGGGCAATCTGCTGCTCCAGGGCACGCTCACCTGTGCCATCGATGCCGGCCAAAAACAGCGCGAGCTGCAGGTCTTTCTCTTCCAACAGATCATGATCTTTGCGGATATACAAAAGGCAAAGACACAGTACACCAGCCCCATCTACAAGTATCGCACGCATATACAGGTTAGTTATATATAACATATGGCATAACACTTGTGCAATAGTCTAATAACAATTTGTATACCAGCTCAATCACATGCAGCTGGAGCCAGTGAAGGAGGGCGATTATATCTTTAGAGTCAAATCAACGGATCCAAATAAGCCAACGGTTAGCATCGAGTGCCAGGCGAGCTCCGAGAAGTGCTACGACGAGTGGCTGGGCATGCTGAACGTGATACTCGAGCAGCAGAGCGATTTAATAACCCGGCTGGTCAATCCACTCAACAAATGAACAAACACACACACACTCACGCAGTGTTGAATTCCAAAATGATATATAATATATATCTATATATATATATATATATATATATATATACAAAAACTACAATTACGCTGAGAGTAGTTCCATAGAAATGCCACAAAAATAAAACAAACTGTTTTTTTGGGTTCAGCCCAAATAAATACAAACTCTGTCTGAGCGTCACACACACACACACACACACACACACGGACACACGGACACATACTCAAGTCCTAATTTGTATGTAGCTTGTAATTTATTCATTTTTTTGTTCATCATATAATAACTTGCATAGATTTATGTAATTTTTGTCATATTGTGCCGTCTGTTTTTTCTCTCTCTGTTGCCCGTGAAAAGTATTATATGCTCAAGAATACATATATATATATATATATATGTTTATTCGTGCATTTCGTAAATTAATTTTCTGCCTGTTTTGAAAATACTTTTATATATTTTTTTGTAACATATTCTCAAACAACTCAAGAGTGTACTCCGAAACAAAAGCAATACGCGAAATACTTAAAAGTGGAACATTAAAAAACCAACCCAATCACCATAAATATAAAGTGAATAATTAATGTATTTAATGAGTGCGTTTAGTTTTAGTTCTTTTGCAACATTTAGTTATTAACTTATGCGAACTGAACACAGCTTTTCAGTTTTATTGCAGCGGTGATTTCTGTAATTAAAGTTTTGAAATTAATTTAAGTTTGGCTTTAATTTATATTTACACACACACACACACACACACACATACAATATATATTTTAAAATATAAAATATTTAAGCTTTAAAACTTAATCAAAAGATTTGCATAAGCTTAGACATTTTTTCAGTTATTAATTTAATTAAATAATAATAATAATAATAAAAAAAAACAACAATAAGTATAATGCCTACTCAGATATCAAATTTAATTTGTTTTATTTTGTATACACTTCTTTTTGTTCAACACACACACACACACACACAAAGCATATTTAACATATTTAAGCCTAAGTATATATATATATATATATAAAGAATATTTGTCTTTGGTGTGCGTTATTGTTAGTTAGGTAAGAGTCGAGTCTAGGCGCGTGTACAGTATAATAGTGTATGCGATAAGTCGGTTTAAGTCAGTTGGTTTGGCAGTTAAATATATACATATATATATATACCCATACAGCAAGATGTCGGTCAAGTCAAATACTCTCTATAAAGTAAAATAATTCATAAAATGGACCAGGATTTGATTAAATGTATAAAGCACTTGAGAAAGTTACTAAACGGTTGTTTACACAATTTATTTACTTTTTTTTTGCAAATTTTTGAAAACACCCAACACACACACACACACACACACACACATACACACTGGTAACTATCTTGAACATTTTATATATCAGCATAAAATTTAAACAATAATAATTTAGCATAGCTAAATATTGAGAGAAGCGAGAAGCAGAAGTGAAGAGATATAGAGAGAGAGAGAGAGAAGCGTAAAATGTATTTTTTTACATGTGAAATGAACCTCCGGCATTATTGATGATGATTAAATCTTAAAAGAAAATAATTAAAACAAAAAAAAAAAAAAACGCACATGGGACAAATTGAAAGTTCACCTTTTCTACATTTTCTGCACCGCACACAAAATACACTAACAAAAGAAATTGATAACCAAAAAAAGAAATCTATGTAATTATGATATATGAATTATGCAACGTACTCTATTAATTAAACTTATTGTTGTATTTGAAAATTGTTACGAGCAAATACCAAAGCACGTCGAATCGGGGGCAAATGGATATTCTAGATAATTGTGTGTGCGTATTTGATGTATAAGGTATATGAGTACATTCGAGCGATGTAAGAGCATCAAATAGTCGTGTTAATCTGTGTTTTAGCCAAGTAAGCAAATCAAATGCAAAAAGCGATTGCGCCCCGACATCAAACATTAAACACATATATATATATACATATATAAAGTATATACATATATAGCGAACAAGTAATTGTATGTACGCAACAACAACAACAAATCCATGTAATCTGAATTTAAAATTTTCAAAAAGAGTAATAAATGCAAAATGTAGATGAAATTAACAATATTCAAATTCACAACGGACATTTCAAATTGCCCGCTCGAATTGCATAGCAGTCAGCTTTTCAACGCGTGCACGCCCAGTATGCTGTGCAGCGCAAGCAAAATGTGCGTGCATGGTCAAATTTAGGCGCATGCAATTTACAACAAGTTGGCATCTCTTCGAATTCTGCCGAGTAATGCAAAAGCGTCGCAGCAGCAGCTGCAAGGAAATTCAATAAATTTTCATAAAAATTTTGTGAAATAAATAGATTGTGAATAATAATAGTGTTATGGAGGAGCTACGCAAGCATTTATCCAAGGTAAACGTACCCTGCGGCAATCCACCGATCTACAAAGACGAATGCGTCTTCTCCTACGACAATCCGGAAACGCCGACCGGACTCTACGTGTGTCTGCAAAGTTTCCTGGGCTTTGGGGAGGCGTACGTACGGGAATATGCCGCCAAAACCGGCAATGTGGTGTTCTTACACATTAAGCGGGAGCGCAAACTGAAGGCGGGCGAGTCGCACGACGAGAAACTGAAGGCGGCCTCGGAGGAGGCCGAGGCCGGGCCGGAGCGCAAAATCACACGCCTGGCCATTGGCGTCGAGGGCGGCTACAATGAGACTGACTTGGCTAAGAAGTACGAGATCAAGGACACGTACAGCATTGTTGTGGCACCGCATCTGGACAAGAAGCTGCCCTACCCGGATGCGGACCTGCCGCTGCGCGTCACACAATGCGTCCAGGCCATACTCGAGGCGGACTCGGCCATTGCCAAGCTGGAGAAGGCCACGCTCACAGGTAAGTGCATGTCAGTTTGCCCAGCCCTGCGTTAAAATGAACCGCCTGGCGGATACTCCGCTTCCGATGCAGGAACGTATTCCATAAGCTAGATCCTTAACTAATCCCGACTCGATGCAGGCACGTGGGATGGCGAGGTGCGTCAGGCATCGAAGTATGCGGAGAATCTGCAGCAGCTGGACAACGGCAAGAAGATACCGCCAGCGGGCTGGCAATGCGAGAAATGTGATCTGACCAACAATTTGTGGCTGAATCTAACGGATGGCTCCATACTGTGCGGTCGGAAGTTCTTTGACGGCAGCGGCGGCAACGATCATGCCGTGGAGCATTATCGCCAGACGGGCTATCCGCTGGCCGTCAAGCTGGGCACCATTACGGCGGACGGCAAATCGGATGTGTTCTCCTATCCGGAGGACGATATGGTATTGGATCCGCATTTGAGCAAGCATCTGTCACACTTTGGCATCAATATGGCCGCCATGCAGAAGTGCGAGAAGTCCATGGTCGAGCTGGAGCTGGAGATCAATCAGCGCATCGGCGAATGGTCCGCGCTGACGGAGAGCGAAAGCGAACTGCAGCCGGTGGCCGGACCCGGTTTTACGGGCATGCGCAATCTGGGCAATTCGTGCTACATCAACAGCGTGATGCAGGTGCTCTTTGTTATTCCCGATTTTCAGCAGCGCTTCGTTGGCAGCGGTGCTGAGCACTATTTCAAGGCGTATCCCAGCGATCCGGCCAACGATTTCAACATACAAATGGCCAAACTGGGCAATGGGCTGCAGTCGGGCAAGTACAGCAGTATTGCGGCGAATACCCTAGATATGGAGCATATGACGGGCATATCGCCGGCCATGTTCAAGAATATTGTGGGCAAGAATCATCCGGAATTTAGCACCAAGCAGCAACAGGATGCCAACGATTTCTATTTGCATTTACTCACCCTGCTCGATCGCAATTCACGCAATCAATTCAATCCCGCCGATGCGCTCAAGTTCCAGCTGGAGGATCGTGTCGAGTGCATGGCCAGTCGCAAGGTCAAGTACAAGATGCGCGAGGAGTACAGCTTCCGGCTGCCCATACCGCTGGATCAGGCGACCAATTTGGATGAGGTGCGCGAGTATCAGGAGCGACAGCAAGCGGCACGGGCCAGTGGCCAGCGTCTGTTGGATCGTGATCTGGTGCGGCACAAGGTGCCGCTGCAGGCTTGCCTGGAACGCTTCTTTGGCACCGAGCTCATCGAACAGTTCTATTCGACGGCCATCAATGGCAAGACCACGGCCAAGAAGACCACACGCATGGCCAGCATGCCCGACTTTCTGATGATCCATTTGGGCAAATTTACGCTGGGCGACGATTGGGTGCCCAAGAAACTGGACGTTTCGGTGGACATGCCCGATGAACTGGATCTGGGCGCTTGGCGTTCCAGAGGCGGGCCGCAAGCCGGCGAGGAGCTGCTGCCGGAGCCGGCCGCCGAGTCGCCCAAATTTGTATTCGATGAGCACGTCATGTCCGAGCTGCTGAACATGGGCTTTCCGCAGGAGGCCTGCAAACGCGCCTGTTACCATACCAAAAACAGCGGACTGGAGGCCGCTTCCAATTGGCTCATGGAGCACATTGCCGATCCGGATATATCGGATCCGTTCGAGGTGCCCAACACACGCATTGGCGACGGCGCCGCCGCCGCCGCCGCCCACTTTGCTGCCAATCCCGAAAGCCTGGCCATGCTCATGAGCATGGGCTTTGACGAGCGCCAGGCGGTCGCCGCTCTAAAAGCCACCGATGGCAACGTGGAACGTGCCACCGACTGGATATTCTCGCATGCCGAAGGCGGCATCGATGATGTGCCAATCGCTGCGCCCGCATGCACCACGGCCGCCGCTGCAGCATCCACGAGCAATTATCGGGACGGCACCGGCAAATACAAGCTGGTCGCGTTCATCTCGCACATGGGCACCTCCGCCCAGGTGGGCCACTATGTCTGCCACATACGCAAGCAGGGCGAGTGGGTCATCTACAACGACACCAAGGTGGCCAAGTCACAGAATCCGCCCAAAGATCTGGGCTATCTGTATTTGTATATGCGCGACGAGTAGACGCGAGCCCCCGACGATGATCTCCCCCCCCCCCCCCCCCCCCCCCCCCCCCCAAAAAAAACTAACCAAGCAGCAATTCTTACGTTTTGTGAAATTATATAAATACATATAAAATAAATGAAAGGCTAAAAAATAAAGCGCAAGCGATTTAGAGAGCGAATCCCGCTTCGAATTCCTACGCACGCCCTTTCATGAAGAGAAAATATTAATATATATATAATCACTTGAAAAGGAAATGCTTTATATCAAGATTTCCTCTCCGGGTGATCTGATATATGAAGAATTATATTAAATCAAGCCAAATAATCATATATATATACATATAGCTAATTATTATTATATGAAATGTGAAGAATTACATTAGATCACTTTGAGGAATTATATATATCTACATATATATATATGATTATTATGGCATATCTTCATGAAAGGGTACTTCCTTTTGAACTATAAACTTAACGATATTTCTGTTCCAATTTTTGCGAAAGTATTTCTGAATCTATTCCAAGTTCCTTCAGCTTATCTCAAGTAATCCTTAGGGAAAGTATTCCCAAGCTTATGCCTTTTATAAATTTGTTTTCTATATATTCCTAATGATCTTCAAAATTGGCAAATTCATTCTTCTTAAATTTTTGCTAAGCTTATGAGGATTTCTTTTAATGTATGTTAACAGAACTTTCTTTAAAGTATTCCCAACTATATTAAAACTTTCCAAGCTAAGCTGCAATTTCAATACAAAGTTTTCTATAAAAGAACACCAAGCATAATTTCACATTTCGTTGCTGTGCACGTTTATTGGAATTTTTTGTCGCCGCCTTCGGCCGCCAACAGCTCCTCGACAATCTGATTGAGGCGATCCGCAAACGCCTCGAAGGAGAACTTTTGCTGGACACGCTTGTGGCCCTGTTCGCCCATCTTGAGGCGCAGCGCCTCGTCGCGGAACAGCTGGTACATCGCGCCGCCGAAGCTCTTCTCCTGGTTCTCGCACAGAAAGCCCGTCGAGGTGTGCACCACCGTTTCGGTGGGTCCTCCGCTGTTGAGGGCCACCACCGGCTTGCAGAAGTACATGCCCTCCAGGGGCACAATGCCAAAGTGTTCGTTCTCGGGCGTGTAAAGCAGGCAGTGTGCGAAATACAATAGTCGGCATTTCTCCTCGTCTGTGGGCGAGCGCAGCAGCACCACATGATCCTGCAGTTCGAGTTTGGCCGTCAGCTGCTCCAGCTCGGCAAAATGCTCGACATTCTCCGTGCAACGTGTATCGTAGCCGCCGGCAATGATCAGGCGGCAACGCTTGAAGTCCATTGTGGGCAGCATGTTGCCCAGGAGCCGCAGTGAGTGCAGCGCCAGGGCGTGGTTCTTCTTGCGTTCGTATCGATTGATGTCCAGATAGATGAAGGAATTGCGCGGCACACGCGCATGTATCGGCTCCTCCAGCAGGACTGAGCGCTGTTCCAGCTTGTGCTCCATCTGGTCAAAGTATTGGGTGTGCAGCGAGGGATACAGCACATCGGGCACGGTGCTCAGCCGCCGGAATGTGTCCTGGAAAACGCGCAACGTGAACTTCGAGTTGACCAACACCTTGTCGGCCTGGCCAATGGTGTGCTCCTCCAGCCAATTGATGGGCGCCCGATACAGACGCTTCAGCAGACCCGCCTGGGCGCTGAGCAGTTGATCGGGAAAGTGACAGTAAAATAGAACACGTGGACGATGTCGGGCCAGGCGCAGCACAGGCACACACACCGAAATCAGATCACAGACAACAACATCCACCAGCTGGCGCCGGGGCATAAAGAAACTGGCATAGAAGGCGGCATACAACATCCGGACATAGGCACAGAACGCATAGAAACGGCCAAAGAGCTGGCGTGGCAGCCAATCGCCCACAACATGAACGGGAAAACTGCCATCGGCTGTCTCCTTGAAGCAGTGCGTGCTGTCATGATGGTTGGTCAGAAAGCTGACCTCATGGCCGCGCTCCTTCAGCGCGAGGGCGGCATCCACGACCAGACGCTCGGCGCCGCCTATGCCCAGATCGGGATGCAGAAACAAAACGCGCACCATTTTGTGTCCAGCTGTGGGAAAGCATACACATTTAATCTTTTACAACAGGCAGATGACAAACCTACCTAAACGTTATGCAAAGCGCATTCTATTCGAAAACAAAAAAAACCAAAATAAGCTAAACTTTTTATTTGGATTGGCAGCCACCAGGCCCAAGAATGTGTAATAGTTATCGATAAATATCAATAATTTCGATAATCTCTGGTCGTTGCATGGCAACACTGGAATGCATACGGTGCCCTCCGACGCGTTTCGGTATTTTTTGGCGCAAAAGTGAGCGCTGTGTTCGCATTTCGGCCCGTGTTTGCAACGAACGCATTAAATTTTCTGTAAAAATCGAATCAATTTTAACAATTTGAATAACCAGTGCCGTGCCAGTGTCTTGCCCAAGTGTTGTCAGCTATCTGTCAGCCCGAAATTGACTCACATTTCATCCAGAGGGATGATGATGCAGCCGCCAATTAAATTGCCAACAAGCGCAGCAGGCATCATCGACATCGTGCGCGCCGCGTTGTTGTTGCTTAATAAATGAGAATTCGAATTAAGAATAAATCGTTTTTTCGCCTAATTAAAGTATTCTACAAATAATAACTAAACGCCACAAGTGTAATGTATGCTATTTGTTGCTGTGACACCCAATAAAAACAACGCAGCCCCAACGCATTCCCACCGCTGCCGCTGCCGCCGTCGACGTCGCCGTCGCGGCCGCCATACAAAGCCTCGGCTAGCCCTGCGGCTGCGATTAGCCCACGTCGTGCATTATTAGACAAAACCAAAACACATTTACAAATACGCATATAGAACAATAGTTATTTGCTGTCGAGTCAAGGGACGAACGCGACTCGGCCACGTACATATATATTACAAACGCAACGCAAGATGCCCAAAATCTACGTGAAGAAGCCCTTGGCGGGCCTGGTCATACGCAATCGCAAGCACAAGAGCAGCATATTCACGGTGAGTGCCAATAAACACACATACATATGCATATTTACATATACATATATATATATAAGCATAAGCGTAAGTACATTGAGCGCCCCCTATAAACACCTGTGCAGCTACAGTGCACCGTAGGAACCGTTAGTTGGGCTATTGGGTTGGCCAGCTGGTCGCCAGTGTTGCCAATTCAGCGGTATTTTTTCCGGCATTTGGAAGAGTTCTTTAGCCGAAAAAAGCTAGATGTAGCTCTTTTCTGGCATCTGAATGATAATGACAACATATTTAAGGCAATTTTTATATTGGATACGTTTACGTTTTTTAAACGGCGATTGGCAACACTTAACCAGCTGGAATGTTGACATTTTGTATGTTATCGGTTATCGATAGACCAAAATGAGCTATTTTTGACTAGCGAAACGTTTTAAACTAGTTTTTTCATTTTGTTTATAAGTTAGCGATTTTGCGAATAATTCAGCAAAGTTTCTAGAATTGTTTTTGTTATCTAAACTCTGCCATAATACTTGCTTATTGCCCAAAATTGCTCCATAAAACTCAAGTTAAGATAACGTATTTTACAAGACCCGAAAAAAACCCGTATTTGTGAGTGTCTACTGTACTTAAGTTGAGGCAATTATTATCAGGTGCGGGCCCTCACGCTTTATCAACATGAATCACGCCTCGTGCGCCCAATGCCCGTTCGTATTATACTAAATTATAAAACGACTTTAAAACCGCCAATTGCTCATTTCAATAATTGTGATTGCGGCAAATGAAAGGCATAAATGTGTGGCTAATAAGCACGAACCTGCGTGCTATTTGGCTTATGAAACCTGTTGGATTTTCCAATAGACGATTGCTTATCAGACAGCGATAATATCTTAAATCAATGTTGCCAAAAAAAAAAAGAAAAAAACAACAACAACATATCATAATATTTACTGACATGTGTGTAATCAATAACTGTTATTTGAATAAACAAATAATTGTATATTTTGAATGCATATAACTTAAAATAGAAACAAATTTTTGACACGCTTTAGAATAGTAAATATTCAATGATAAGGAATTTTTCCTTGGGCTTTTTCATTAGTCATAAACTCGACTCGCTGACATCAGCAAAAGTGGCGTGCCTCGGGCGTTGCTTTAATTGTAGCACAGTGTGCACTCGATACAGTGGTTGCACAGCTAATGGGACTAACAGAAATTATAAATACAAAATCCAGTGTTGATAAAGACTATTTTTGAGCGCGTTAACAGAATCATACTGGTAGAAAATATATCATGTTGTATTTCTGAAAATATTCTGATTATATTTTCAACAAATTTCAAATTTACGCTAATTTAACTTATCTACAAAACAGTGCTGCAAGCTGCCGCTTAAAAAAGTTCAGTGTTCAAAAATACTTAATTTAGCTAAATACGACTTTTTTAACACTAACTGAGAAAAAACAGGGCTGTCATTGTTAGTGAGTATCGAAAAAAAGCTGAATAAGCTATAAAGTTCAGCACTTTGCGGCCAAAAATAGCTGAATCGACAACACTGCGAGGAATAGGCCTTCCACAAATTGAAAGTCTTCTCAAATTTAAATAAGCTCTTAATCCGAAATGTATTTATTCTCGAGCGACCACTGTATATGAGAAAATGTAGTTAACACAGCCGAGAATATTGTTTAAGCAATCATATGTTGCTTGTGCTTGGGAAAGAGAGAGAAAGAGAAACAGGGAGAGGCAGAGGCAGAGAGCGACAGATCTCGAGCATTTGTGTGTCAAATTTCATAATCAATTCAACGTTGACCTCTCCAACAACCACTTGTTTAATGGGCTGGAACACGGCAACTGTCGTTCTTTTGGCTTTCGCTTTCGTTCGAAAAGCTGTTCGCCGAGTCTTTTGTCTGGCTCTGTTTCTGTTTCTGCTTCTGTTTTAATTCTTTGTGTTTTTGTTTTTGTTTCAGTTTTTGTGTGACTTATTGAGCCACATATTAGCTCATTAAGATGGGGAAACACTACAAGTCCAACTGGGTTTTTGGGAGTGCATTGAACTCATTTCCCTGTGCTTTGACAACTTGCCACAAAAGTGCGTCTAATGAGGCAAAGCTAACAAATCAGTTCATACATGAACCATAAAGTATATACATGTATTCTTGCTCAGCATCCTGCTATCAAATATGTTTTAATTTTATCGATATCATGTCGATAAACATCGTTATCGAAAGTTTTGTTTTAGTGTGTCGAATTCGTATAGTTAACACAAATCCAAAATAACTCAAAGATCGGACTTCAAGCACCGAAGCTATTCAAGAAAGCATAGGCTGGAAGAATAGAAAGAAGAGTGCGGTCGGTACAGGGTATCTCTTAGTCGTGCACTCGTTGTGGATATTACATTAATCACAATTTGCTGCTGTCCTCCTGCTGCTACTGCTCCTCCTGCTTGGCGTGTAATTACATACACATCAAATGTGGAATAACACCCGCCGGGACGGCAAACTTCAATTTAACTCTGCCCCAGTAGCACTCCCCCTCCCCCCCCCCCCTGGTTATTCCCCTGAACCATGCATTTTTAATGCTGCTGCGTCGACGGCGACTGCGACGCTTGCGGCAAGCCTTCTGACTTCCAGATAATTTGCCGTTAACCGCGCTGTCAGCTAAAAGGCAGCCAGCCTGTCGCCATATTCATATAAACACTGTGCAACAAAACAGCTGAGCTTGCAAATTTATGTCACAGCAAAAATCAGAATATGATAAACAAAAATGCAAGCAGATAAATACATTTACATATATATGCATGCATGCATACATAACTATGTTAACTGGTGCAGGTAAATATACATATGAAAATTTGCAGCACAGTGTAATACGTATATTACGCATACGCACAGTATGCCACTAATGTGTATAATGTTTGCACTCAGCCAATTAAATTGATGGCTTTGAGTTCTGTATAAAAACTTAAACCTTGAACTAAATTATAGGAATTTGATTTGCTGTGCCTCACCTCAAAATTAATATTGCTTTGGAAATATTAACAAAACTGTACTATAATCAATTTCAAACCAGAAGTGAAATGTCCTTGATGAAAGCTTGTTTGGCTTTGTAAAATTGATCTTATGTTAGGGTAATTCTTTAAACCTAGATACAGGGTGTCTGTTAGTCCAGTCTACCCTCGAGATCATTCACACTTGTGCTTGACCGAACTCATTGAAAAGTAACCGAAAATGTTACCTTTTTTGGTGCATTTTGTGCGGCGCAAAGCTTTCATTCATAAAACGAGCGAACAGCGCGCAGAATCCGCAAAGAAAGCGAAATGAAAACGCGCAGAGCTTTTTGCTCTCCGGCGAAAGCTCTATACACTCTCTCTCTCTCTCACTCCACATGCGGCGGGTGCGCGTGCACGAAATGTGCACCCACAAGCAACATGCAACAGAAGCTGCCGCAACAACAACAACAACAACAACATCTCCGAATGTGCAAACAAACAAATTGCGAACGGAAAAAGTAAACACGGAATGGGAATAATTATGGGAAATTTGTTGGAGGTAAACATGAAATGGGAATTATTATGGGAAATTTAATGCAAACGAGAAAGCAGGTTTATGGAGCAAATGCGCGAAAGAGACGAAAGTGAAATAATCGAAGCTGTACTTTTATGTGTGGGAGTTCGAATTTGTGTGTGTGTGTGTGTGTGTGTGTGTGTGTGTGCGTCAGTGAAAGTCCCGAGATGCCGGGAAATTAAAGTTGATTAAGCAGCTGCGTTTGATCAAAGCTGAAATGCTCAGATATAACAAATATTATATACATTTTTTTTTGATTTTCTCCTTAATTTTGCACATTTTCGAACACTGCAAATTGGCTAGTGGAAATAATTATACCAAGCATGAAAAGCTTCAAAAGCTTTTTTCGTTCGCATGCGAAAATTGCATAGAAGAGTGGAAGTAGGAAAATAAGCAACGGCATATAGAATATAAGTATGTGTGTACGTACGTACAACTGGCCCAGACGCGGCGAGCGAGAAAAATGAATGCGACGCTTTTCCAGCTGAGTACGACACAGCATGTGGAAAAGCGCACAACACGCACGGAAACGTTGTACCACATTTTTGTTATTATCATCAACGTGATTATCGTCGTCGTCGTCGTCGCCGTCGCCAAAATATACACAACGAAAATTTTGTTGAAATTTTTCATTAAATATGTTTTTCTCGCGTCTGTTTGGTTAATTTTCGCACTTGGTTTCGCTTCGTACACGCTGGGAAATACGACGAGACGCGGCGCCAATGTAAACTAAACAATTCGAATAGGTTCAATGAAAGGTTTCGACAATACAATTTTCAAATATGTTGCAAGTGTAACAAAGTCTCGCTGTGTGTGTGCCTGTGTGTTCGTGTGTGTGTAAGTCAATGAAAATGTGCGCAAAATAAGTGAGTTCAAGTGAAACTAAGCTGAAAACTATTTGGAAAATAATAAACTTGAAATGCTTCCACATGTTGTCAGCTTTATTGTTGCTGCGTTTGCTTTCAGCTGCAGCGTTCAGTTATTGGCTATTTTATAGTTAAATTTAGCTATTTTTAGAGCTGATCAGTAGACAGTCTGGCTAGACTGTTTAGTGAAAATTCGTGCTTAGCAAGCTAATTCAGCTATTTATGGCTGTAATTGTTTTTTGCTTCGGTGCATTCAGCCATTTTCTAGTCAAATTTAGCTATATTTAGAGATGGACAGTGTGAGATAGTAGAAATTTGAAACTGATTGAATTTCGTGAAAAGTCTGGCTACACTGTTTAGTGAAAATTCGTGCTTAGCAAGCTAATTCAGATATTTATGGCTGTAATTGTTTTTTGCTTCGGTGCATTCAGCTATTTTCTAGTCAAATTTAGCTATATTTAGAGATGGACAGTGTGAGATAGTAGAAATTTGAAACTGATTGGATTTCGTGAAAAGTCTGGCTACGGGAAATTCGTGCTAATTCAGCAACTTATAGCTAGTATTTAATATGATTTTCAGCTACTTTTTAGCTGCGGCCTATTTAACTATTTGCCCGGATATTTAGCTCTTTTAAGACGCAGACGGTAGACATGTAAAAAGTCTGGCAACACTGTTTTATATTTATAGCTGTTATTCAACATTGTCTTTAGCTACTTTATTGACAATTGGCAGCACTGTTGAGCTGCCCGTTACGCAAAATATTTTGTAACTGTACTTAAATGTTGCCCACGCGTATTTTTTGTATTATTGTTGTTGTTGTTGCTCATCATGTGGCAGCTGCTGCTTGACTTTGTTGCTGTTCCTTAAATTTGTTGTTGCTGCTGTCTGCTTTCAACGCCAGCTTCGTGTCTGCCCCAAGACGACCAAATGTCGCCACATCCACACTGACAACACACGCACACACACACACACACACACACAGGGACACACACACTTACGCACGCAGCACGCACTCGCAGAAGCCTTCGCGTTGTTTTCCTTGAAGAAGGTCACTCAAACTTGTCCACCGCCCCCGCCCACTTTCCGCGCCCACTTTCACTGCCTTGACCAGCATTTTGCTTTTTAGCCCAAATGTGCTGTGAATAGTTCTTGTTTTTTTTTCCTTCTTCTGTTCTCTTCTCTTTTTGCATAATTTTAGCGTTTCGGTGCAAGCAAACGTTCATTAAAAGCCTTTTGTTATTCTGTACCGCCTGCCCTGCCCTGCCCCCTTGTACACCTTGCCCCAATCTCTCGCCCTCTCTGGCATTTCTATATATACCCATTGTGTATCCATTTATGTCACGTTGACCGTTCAGCTCAGCTCATTGCACTGCTTTTGTATTGTTGTTGATGGCGAATGTGTTTGCTTTGGTTTTGTTTCTTTGCCTACTCTGTGCTTTTATGACCAAATCAAAATGGCTCATAAAATGACACCCCAGCCCCTGCCTTCCCTGCCCAGATGCCCCCCAGCTGACCTCAATTGCAGCAGGAGCCGCAAGTCGCGTTTTAAAAGCATCAAATTTGCATACAACAAATATATTAATATCGTAATTGTGTTCATAATCACGATGCACCGCTTGATTCAATTGTTTGTTCAGCTTTAGATTTAACTGGACCACGTGTCGTATACGTATCAGATTAATTTCGAAATTGAGCGAAAAACATGCGTTTGATGTTGCAAAATGCTTAAACATATTTGGTTTGATGAGTGCTGAGGGTTTGAACCAGCTTTCTGCCTTGAAGCGCGACTCGGAAAGCTCGTTTATCACATCCTTAAAGCCAGGACTTGCCAGCTAGTCTTAAAAGTTAATGAAACAGTTTAGTATTTCGTTTTTTAATGCCCGTTTGACTAAAAATATGGGCAACTGTATATATTTTCATAAAAAATCTGCGGCAAAAATTTGAAATTTAGCAAAAATTGTTAATTATAATCTTGAGCTTTATATTTTTATATATATAATATATATAATATTTTATATAATATTTTAAATTCTATATTTACAATTTATTATTTTTATTAATCTCTAACTTGGGGACTTACCTTTAAGAATCTTTCAATGGGTCAAGAAATGCGCCTAAAATAATTTTGCTTAAACAAAATCTTCTCTGCAACGTGTCCGGAAAAGCACCTCAAATAATCGTATACACATTTTTTGCATAATTTATGTGCTCAAAAGTAAAAGTTCTCAAAGCTAAAAAGAAAAACTTGATATATGTGTTTTTCGCCCCCTTCCCCATTTTCCCACACCCTTTGAGAACACGCGCGTCGCTCGCCGGAAAAGTTCAATAAACCTTTGTCGCAAGAGAGAAACAAAACGTGGTGGAGAGGGGGAGGAGGCATGGCTGCATACTCTGCCCTGGAATTGAGCGATTCATTAGCATATTTTCTAGCATTTGTTGTTGAGCAGAAAAACAAAAAAAAAACTGTTTGCTGCACCTCTCGTTTGTGAAATGTGAACGCATGTGTTTAGGGCAGCTGTCGCAGCCATTTTTCTGAGATTGAGCTAAGACATGGCCCCGATTCAGCTTATATAGAGGGCAAATATTTGCCCAGCCAGCGATGCTAATGCCAATCATTTACAAGCCAGACATGACGGCGTGGCCGGAGATGCCAGGAGCTGGCCAGGAGCTGGGCAGGAGGCAGGAGCCCGGAGCGAGGTGCGAGGAGCGAAGGCAGCCACTGTCTTTCTTATGAAATGCGGTTAGATAATAAACACACACAGATACAGATACAGATACACACACAAGCAGCAATAAATTGTGGCTCCTTTCGGTGGCTAATGCGGCGTATGCGCAATGCTTCCATCCCGAACCCAACCCCAAGGCTATTGTATTTTTTGTTTGTGTGTTTTTGTGCCCTCAACTGCTAACTAAAATTATTCAATCAGAGCGCCACAGACAAACGAGGTTTATTATGTTTAACCTGGGTGATTGACTGATTGATTGATTGACGGTCAACGCAGAGCGCAAGTCGTTAGAGCTAGGCAACAAAATGTTGGGCAGTAGTAAGCATAGCTGGAAAACTCTTTAAGCTAAATTGACAAAACAGTTGAAAACCCTTAAAAAAGAAACAACTTTTTTGCTTGTTTTTCTTGAACTATATCCTATATACCATCATATAGCATAGGAACGATCGGTTGAATAATAGTTACTTACCTTAAAAACTATTTTGTTCTTTAAAATAACTTAGCCTCACAATATTGATGATGATTTTCGACCCATATTTCCAAAGATCTATATGATCTCTAAAAGGCATACAAATATTATATATGTGGCTATGTGTTTGTGTGTGTGTATGTGTTTGGGCGTGTGTGTGTATGTATGCATTTATTTATGCATACATATATGCATGCATGTTTGTTTTCTAGTACCAACGCAGAAAACGAATTTTTACCATGTGCTCTACTCCTCGATTCTCAAGAATTCAAGTAGGAATTCAATAAGGCATGCATGCATGTATGTAGTTATCGGGCCATGTACGCATGCATGCATGCATAAAAAGCAAACATGCTTACATGTCAAACAGGCATACATATGTATATATGCAAACTTAAAACGTAGCCCAAAATATCTTTGAATCGCATTTCTACCGAGAAAGATTTTATTTTTCCAAATGTGTGAAACATCTTTTAAGTGAATTTGAACAAAGATCTTTGAAAACGTGTTTGAGGCCGAACGAATGGTGAACAAAAAAGTTGCATACAAACCGTTTTCGCGGTTTTTTCCACATCTGCAGGTGGAATTTCCCGAAATCTCGTCCTAACGTGCACCTTCATCACATAAGGCTACTACACTGAAAATTTCAGCTTCAGCCAGACAGTTTCTCAGGACAAATAGTTTTCTATGTAGAGATATGTGAACCAAGCCATACTTATATTTAATCTTCTGCTGTTTTGTTAAATTGATTCATCTAAGTTCTTTGGAGACGTGCTTGCCACTTTTCATAAATTATTCTTTGAGTAAGAGCTGTTAGCTTAATGATATTTCTATAGCTTCTTTGAAAAGCAGTTTAGAATTCTATGGTCTATTCTATAAAGTCACTTGGATGACATTCAGTTTTTGGCTCACTTTAAGTGTAATTAATTTTTGTATACCTGCCTCGGTCAGAATATATTCACATATATCTTTCACTTGGCGAAATTTGTATGTTAAGCCGCCATATCCAGCTCGATTCCCGATGAGTCATTTTCGTTAGGCTTGGGTCGGCTTCGTCCTTGGACTAACATGTCTATTTTTTTTTTTTCTAGCCGGCACACCCTGCATTTCACAGGGCTGGCGCATTAGAATTTGGAATTCCCTTTGTTGTTAGTCCCAGCTAAAATATGACAATCATTTGCTGGTTATTTCAGTGTTTTGTTTATTTGGCAGCACTGCCAAAAAGCGCTGCTGTTGCAACGTATGCAAATTAACTGACTGCCTGACTGCAGCGAATTTCTTTTTTGCTGTCAACAATTTCGAGGCGCGACCAAACGGAACTGCCGTGTTGTTGAGCCTGTGGCATGCAAGGTCAGTTTGTGATTCGTGATTCGGCTGCATCATAATCATAGTAAATCAATAAAAACAGCCCCAAGCAACAAGCAGAATAATGGAGAAACAACAGCGAAAAGTTCACTTATATGCCTTTGACAAGCAGTTTAATACCCTGTAAATCATACTGTGTGCTGTGTCCAATATGCCTAACTTCTTCAAATGACAGGGTATGGGAATCTGTACAGTTTGAAACAAGCACTCAACCTACTGCTCATTTTATTATTATTGTTTTTTTCGTTGAATACAAATTCTGCTGAGTTTGAACCGGCGCCCTCTCGCAGTCTG